TGGGCGCGCGCACATGTGCTCTCCATCAGAGCACTGTATGGGGGTGGACGCGTTTGCACATCGGCCATGGCCCAGGGGACTGCTGTACGCCTTCCCACCAGTCCCGCTGATTCCTCGGTTTCTGGACTGAGTGCAGGAGGAGCGGCTGTCAGTGATCCTAATTGCCACGGAGCGCACAGGAGCTTCCTGGTTTCCATGCCTACAGCGTACGCTGTCAGGCAGGCCGTGGGAGATTCCGTGGCGGGGGGACGCTCTCTCACAGGTGGAGGGAGCGATCTACAGTCACCCAGTGATAGGCCAGCCCTTATGGGCATGGCCCCTGAGCGGGAACACTTAGAGAGGTTGGGTCTCTCTCAAGATGTTGTACGCACCATTCAGGGAGCCAGGGCCGTGTCTACCAGAGCGTCCTACACAGCCAAGTGGGCAGCGTTCCAGCGTTGGTGTGTAGAAAGAAGCCTGGACCCCATTACGTGCCCCCTGCCTCACGTGCTGTCATTCCTCCAGCTGTTGTTGGACAGGAATTTGGCGTTCAGCACAATCAAGGTATATGCGGCTGCCATATCATCTTGTCACGTGGGTTTCGGAGCAGGGACGTTGTTCAGTCACCCCCTGACGAAACGGTTTCGGGGTATGAAGACTCAGACCGGTGTCACGCGCACTGGCGCCTCAGTGGGATTTGGCTTTGGTGTTACGAGCACTAAGCAAAGCCCCATTTGAACCTTTAGAGCAGGTTCCCCTCAACATGTTATCAGCCAAAGTAGTACTGCTTTTGGCTCTAACATCGGTGAAAAGGGTGAGTGATTTATCCGCTCTCTCTGTGGCCCCGTCATGCCTCCGGATCCAAGGGGATGGCAGTTCGGCTGGGTTACGTCCTAACCCAGCCTTTATGCCAAAGGTCATCACAAGCTCTTTTAGGTCAAGAGTGATCACCCTGGACGGGTTTTTTCTGCCGCCTCATAAATCGGAGGAAGAAGCCACATCTCATCTCCTCTGTCCGGTGCACGCGCTGTCCTGCTATGTGGCGCGCATGGCGGCATGGCGCCGTTCTCAGCGCCTGTTTGTGCATTATAGAGAGCGCTCGATCGGGCAACCTCTGTCTGCACAACGGCTGTCACACTGGCTGTGTGAGGCTGTGTCACAGGCATATGTCTCCTCTGGGGTGGAGCCCCCGGAGAATATCAAAGCGCACTCCACCAGAGGAATTTCCTCCTCCACGGCGTTGCACGGAGGAATGTCAGTGGAAGATATTTGCACGGCTGCATCTTGGTCTTCCCCCTGTTAATTTATTCAATTTTATTTGAGGGAGGTCTCCCATTCCTCTCTGACGCACCCTGTACTGGGTGTCCTGTCGGAGTGAGTGACGTCAGGGATCCAGCGGTGCGCCTCTCTCCTGCCTCTCGGCACACAGAGAGCGGCCCTTTTTCCCTCGTATGAGAGGGATGTTCCCTTTACTCTGACACACTTCGTACGGAGTGCCTGGTCAGAGTGAGTGACGTCAGGGATCCAGCTGAGCGCTCTCCTACCTGTCTGACACGGAGAGAGCAGCTGTTCCTCCTCTATGATCGCAGGACAAGGTGGAACCTTCGTCTCTACTTTCTCACAGCGGCCGGTATATTCCCAGCCTTCACCCCGTCGGGAAGATAGGCATGTTTGGCTATGTTCCAGGGACGGTGATGCGCCATTACGCATGGCACAACAGGCAGGGGGGTGTGATTGAGCAGGTGTGTCTGTGCTTCTAGTGCCGGACGGACCCAGTGGGGCGCAGACTACATCATGCTTCGCCCTTAACCCAATAGCGATAGCCTTAGAGGGCGAAGCCATATACGAAATAGAACTGAGGTTACCTACTGTAACCCAGCTTATATGAGTAAATGGCGCAGCCCTCTAAGCGCTGGGCCCCACTGGCTCTACCAATAGCTGAAGAAAAGTTATATTGTATGGGAGCAGATTTCCGGGCCCCCTTCCTATTTATACCGGAAGGAGGCACGAGGGTGGGGCCCACCTGGCGGGTGGGCGTGGACTACAAGTGGTTCAGTGCTGCGCGGGGGCACAGAGGGATAACCCAATAGCGATAGCCTAATGGCGCATTTCCACTGCAGCGGGTAGCCCCGTTTAAGCGTCCTTAATCGTCCTCAAGCGGCCAGGCCAGTTTTTGGTGGCCTTTCCATATAGCGTAGCACCGGCTAGCGGGTACTTTTTCCCTCTTTTTCCGGCCCCATAAAATCGTGGTTCTATCAGGCCAGGGCCAGGGCTGAACTAGTGACGTCAACACTCTCGACTGCTGATTGGTCAGAGAGAATCGTCAGAGAGAATCGTCACAAGATCGCGCGCGAGATCATCCAAAGCGTCGCATATATATCTAGAAGCAAGCTTGCAGCATTTTTATACACAGCATTTTTTGACGTTCCTACATCTCATTGGGGATGATAAAATCCAGCGGGAGCTCGACGGAACAACTCGAAATGTGAAAGTGTTCCAGGATGTCTCTGCGCAGATGCCCCGCCTACACTGCGTTGCTACCCCAGGTCCTAAACTGTAATGGAAATGCGCCACTGCCTCGGATGGCCAGCGAGGCAGCCCGAGGCCTGAGCGAGGACGCTTAGGGACGCTTAAACGGGGCTACCCCGCTGCAGTGGAAATGTGCCATTAGAGGGCTGCGCCATTTACTCATAGAAGCTGGGTTACAGTAGGTAACCTCAGTTTTCCCATATTGAATTTCTCCAACAAAACAGATGCCTGCCTCTGGATATGTTCATACATTAGAGACCGTCAGGTTTAGAGTTATAACAGTTACTCCATTCATCAATTTGTTTGAATGACAGAATCAACCAGCAAGAATTGTAAAAATGGATCAATCACTTGTTGTTTTTTTATAATAACAAACGTTTCCTTGTGTTAGCTTCTCATTTGTTATAAGCTTCTGCTTTCTTTCTACTGCGTTGTAGTCCATCAATCATTTATATGTTTTGGAGTTTTGTTCAGAGAAAATAAATTACTTGCAGATATTAATGTACCGTGCGTTCAATTTGCAGACTAAATGATACATTCTTTAATCAAGAAAATTATAACAATAGTAAAAGAGGGTGGAAATAATGAATAGAAGTAGCCCATATTTAGAAGGCTGTGCTCTTATTTGATTAACATGTTACTTGATTAAAATCAAACATTAATTAAAACATGTTGAACCATTAGGTATTCAAGACTTATTTTATAAACAAGATTTTCTCTTTTGGGGACCTGTTTAAAAAATGATATCTTGTCTTGATGTTAATGCGCTCTTGAGTATGCATGTGGTGAGCATAATAGAAGTAACTTTGCAGAAGCAAGACATCCAATTATTCTATTAGAGAGTGCTAGTTGCTCTAATTTCTCAAAACACAATACATCTATTGCAAATCTGTTTAATCACTTTTTTTTCCACAGAGGATCCTTTACACTGCAGGGGTGCCCAACCAGTCGATCGACCTGTCGATCGCGGGGAGATTCCCAGTCGATCGCGAGATGTGTCTAAAACTAGAACAACAATATTCTGTTTTATCGTTAATGTCCTATAACATAATCTTCCTGTGCCAGAATAATGCACTTGAACGCATCAAAGCTTTGTGATTGGCCCGGCGTGACCCCATCTGTCGGGGCGTGGCTGGTGGGCAGTGGGCACTATTTCGCTGACGTTGTCCGTGTCAACCTGGTGTCAACAGGAGTGACAGTCCGCACACACACAAGACCGCAATTATGGCAGAAGCAAAAAAGCCTAACATATATAATTTTCACTCCGAGTGGGAGGATGATTATTTTTGTATCTATTCCAATTCAAAGTCCATCTGTCTCATCTGCAATGGGAGCGTGGCTTTATCGAAGAAGGGTAATTTAGGAGCGGCATTTCAAAACAGTGCACAAACGCTACGAGACGGAATTCCCTCCTAATTCTGCCCTACGCTCCCAAAAGGGGAGGGGCCTGAAAGGACAGCTAAATGCACAGCAGTCCATTTTCACCAGGCCCAACAACAAGAGCAAGGCTGCTACCAGGGCATCTTATCGTGTCAGTCACGTTCTTGCGAAACACATGAAGTCTTTCAAAGATGGCGAAGTTGTGAAAGAAGCATTCCTGGAGGCTGCCGACGCGCTTTTTGGGGACAGTAAAAATAACAGAAGCATTTCAACAGGTTTTTGATATAATAAAAACTTAAGTTAGATACCGTTATTAATCAGCTGTAAGTTTTAGTTTGTTTGAACTTATTCATTATAATTATTGTACAAAATGGTATAAGAATGCAAACTTAAATTGATTATAGTCTATTATCAATTCAGGTTAAGAAACTAGTGTTGCTTGCATCCTATTTTAAAGGCATTTATTTTTATACTCTAATAAAATGCAACAAAAAAAGGGTTTGATTCTATTAATGTTGTCTTTTTTATTGCACTTTGGCAGCAGATTCCTGTGTAGCTTCAGATCTGAGTTGTCTTATTAGTAAGCCTCATTTATACTTTTGTAGCAACACTATTTTTATATAATGGCAAAGAAAGGGTTCAGAGTATTTTCTTTTTTCCCTGTGTCATATGTGGCAGCACTGTTCAATGTTTCTTGAAAACATTACCCACTGTAGTATGTGATGTGTGAATAAACTCCAACTCTATAACAACAACACTGTTGTGTAACTTCAGTTAAATACTTGTATGTGTGTAGATTAGAAAGAGGTAAGATAAAGGATCTGCAGTATTTTATGAAGTATTTATCGTACAAAGGTCAGTTTTATACAAGTAGAAGTGTGTATTTACCTGGTAGTAGGCTGTCAGTAATGGCTACGCCTCGCTATTTGAACTGGTAGATCTCGGCAGACTGGCAACTTTAAAAGTAGCTCTCGGTTCAAAAAAGGTTGGGCACCCCTGCTTTACAGCATGAATTGCTTTATACTCTGAAAAGTGGTTGAATCTAAAAACAAAGCAATGACACATGGCTCGCAGCTAAAATGTGCTTTTGCAGTTGTCAAGACGAGGCTCACCTTCTCTGCTTTGGGTGCGTGGGAGGGGCCCGGCGATGGCGGCTGGAGGGGATTGGCTGGGTCGCCGTTGAGGAGCACCGCTGACACGTTGGGAGGCGTGAGGCAGGACAGAGGGGAGGAGAGCGGGAGGAGGGGCCTCGAGGCGGGTGAAGAGAGAGGGGAGGGCCCTAGGCAGGGTCCCGAAGACACCATGGAGTGAGGACGACCCGATTGGCCGGGGCAGCGCGAGGGGGAGGAGCTCTGAGGACGCAGCGGGGAGAGAGCCACTGTGGGACGCTCCGGGCTGCCAGCTGGTGGACTGTGGACTAAAACAGAAAAAACACTTGTTATTGTTAATGGAAAAACTGATTATAAATGCACTTATTTCGTTCCTGAGTGAGTCCATGCCAATGTTTTGGGAGCTCTCAATATCTGAAGAGAGATATGATATCAAGATAATCCTTCAAAAGCCACATGCAGACTTTAGGTTACAGAGAGACTCTCTTTCTGAAAAGGGATACTGGGTAGAGCAACATTAATTAACACCCATTATTTGTTTATGCGTCAAGGCTTTAGGATGACATAGGAAAAGGCTGCTGAAAATAATGAGAAGTTAAAATGTACTACAGTATTTATGACATTTCGAAAAGAAAGCACATAAAATAAATAAATAACTAAACTGGCTGAAAATGTGTAGGTGGAAGCTTAAGCTTCTAAAACCGACAATGTTATCATATCATATTATAATAAACAAACTCTTTCACTACAAGGTTTACACAAACAAACAAACAGATTAACACCAAGTTAACACCTTGGACAGATATCACTTTTAAGTCTTCCAACCTTTGTTTTTCTAAACATGCCTATCCCCATATGTCATATTAAGTTAATTATCTATGAGTATCTTGTTTAAAAGTTTGGAGTCTTCAATTCTCCTACATTGTCCATTTCTTACTCTGAATAAAACTCACAAACACCAGGTAAACAGCCCAACCTGGGAGAGTAAGGTTGAATAGTTCAAACCCCATCCCTAAAACATTTGAATATGTGGAGCACTGTGAATAATCTAAGCTTAATTTTGAGCACCCTAAATTCTGAACAAACCCCATCAGGAACAAAAACTGTCTGAGATGTCCTGAGTTTTGGGTCACTTTTCCCAGCGTTCAATTTGTACGAGGTAATTTGTTGCTCATGAGGATACAGTACACAGATACACACACACATAGGCATAGATGCTCAAAAACACACACTAGCCACCTGTTCTTCCACACTGCAGTACTTAGGCAGAAATCCACAGAGAGGCTCGCTGGTCATGTGATAAAACCACTAAGCGCTAGAACTATGCACATACTTTATTTTGTAATGGAGACCAGATGTGTGTCTGTTTATGTGTATGTGAGAGTGAGAGAGAAACACAGAGGGGGGAAAGGAGAGAGGCATGAAGCTCTGTCATTACGCCTCCATAAAACAAAAAGCAAGCACAGTGATGTCATTCAGCTGCGCGTACAGGAAATATGTGTGTTCACTGTGCACATGCCTGTGTGTGCGTGTGTGTGTGTTATTCTTGGCAGTGTTCTCACAGTGTGTACTTGTCAGCATCCCAAAGAAACGGTCACCATTATTTTCTCAGAAGGAGAAAGAAAACATACAAAGGGAAGAGAGAAAGGGGTTCTGGAGAGATGAATAGACTCAGTGCTGGTACAAGGCTGGTATGATCTGGACCTTGTTCACAAATAGGTGTGTGTGTCCCGTTTGTGATTGTGTGTATGTGTGCACAAACAATACCACTGCTCGATCAGATCTCTGTTTTGTGCCGACTGTATGTGCACAGTTTCAGTGCATTCTGCAGTTGTGTTGAATAATTCTGCTCCGAGTTGCAGCATGTTCTTGTAGCTGTTATGCTACAGAGGCTTATGTTCAGCGATGATTCAGTGGGTTCGTATAGTGCAGAGGAAAGATGGAGTGAGCATGCATGATGTTCATAAAACAATATCATAGGGTTTTTTTCAAGCAAAATTGTTCGCAGCATGAAGGCTCTGTTTTTCAATTGTCCCCTCACAGCAAGAATACACCTTTTCCCTTTTTGCTCTCTCTCTCTCTGTTTGAATGATTGTTTTGTGTTTTCTTCTCTATTCTGTGTTTTTGAACAGTCAAAAGACAGGCATGTTTGGGCTGCTGGGGGCCTACAGTGGATTAAGGCTCTGACAATATCATTGCAATTCCCCCCAAAATCTCTTTCTCCTAATCAGCTTTCTCCTGTGTCTACTTTATTGTTAAGGCAAACATGTCTGAAATAAATGAATCACAAGATCTGATGAATAGAATACTCAAAATGAGTAGGTCTTTGTGGAAGTGTCAGTGTGTCTTTATAAGCACTGTAACTAAAAAGTTAGAGATGATCAAACAGATGATGTGCATATGACTGATTTATCAATATGTATTTGATATACGATAAATATACTTATGGCTTGTACTTTTGGTGTGTTTTGCAATGAGATTCTCAACTATCTTTTATGATCTTAATGTTCAAATGTGTATACTTTTGGCAATGTTGTGTACTTGAATGTCACTAACTGGTTCTTTCTTTAGTTCTGATTCCTTTCAGCATGATGGAACCAGAGGTTAAATAGTCTGCTGTTAACATAAACCTGCACAGTTTTACATGGTGCAGAGGCTACTTGAATTAATGATTGATCAATATTCTATTATTCTGTAATCACAGACTAAGGGGATAAAATGCCGTGACGACCCAAATTATCTGCACTCTGCTCCTTAAAGTCTGTAGGCTGCTGAGCAGTCTTATCGCGCGCCGTGATATTGCCGAGCATGACATGAAAAATAGCAGAGATGTGAGTAAATTCCTTCCACTTGCTTAACATTTCTCTGGAGGGTGCAACAAGAAATGGCTCTCCTTTCTCATGATGTCATACTGTGAGTCTTTAACGTGGCTGCTTCTGTTGCAGGATGTTTGTTTCACGCGTAGATATCTCAACTTCTATTTGAGTGCAGCTTTGGAAAGGAAAACTATACATAGTTCATTTACTATGTAAAGATGTGATTATGTTAATTCCTAAATAATCAGTAAACATGTGATTGGATTGACCAATAAATAGAAACAAAACCGAACCTTCTGAATGTTTCATGGATCCAGTGCTTAATGATTAAAGCCCATTTTGTGTGTTTCTAACATGTGTTTGTCTCTGTGTGTGTGTGTGTGTGTGTGTGTGTGTGTGTGTGTGTGTGTGTGTGTGTGTGTGTGTGTGTGTGTGTGCGTGTGTGTGTGTGTGTGTGTGTGTGTGTGTGTGTGTGTGTGTGTGTGTGTGTGTGTGTTTGTGCTTACCCAGCTGCATTGAGGTGCGGGCCTGGTTGGCTGTGTGCTGGCTGGAGCGCAGGCAGTTCTTCAGTTGGGCGGCGGCAGTTTGTGGAGAGGAGGCGGGACTGGCAACAGAGTTTACTAGTGGGGTGGAGGGACGCGAAGAAGAGGACCCCGGGGAGCATGGGGACGAAGGGGCAGAGTTTCTACTGCACCCGCTACCTCCTCCTCCTCCACCCACTGGACTGGATACAGACGACCGAGAAGATCCAACTCCAAACGGAGCCCTGCGGGAGACAGAGGGGTGAGGCTTGTCATTGAATGTTTTGAGACTTGTCATTGATGTTTTTTTTAGATTTTTTAAATCTAATTATATGTCACCAACAGTTACATTGCTTTAGGAATAAGGGTCTTTCTGTCATACCAATTAATGTGTAATGCCTTTTTTCTCCATCATTACTTTCTTTCACAACTAAATACCAGAACTGCTGATTAGCTATTGTTGTCATGCTAAGAAGCTAAACAAGGCTTCATTATACTTGTTTGTGGTGTTAGCATTTAGCTCAATCAAACTCTATGAAGCTGTGCCTGAGTACAGCCTCATAGAGTTTTGTTTAGTAAGAAATGTTAATCGCCAGTGTTTTGTCCATAATGGCAGACCAGGAGGTGCAAACGGGGCCATTATCCTCTGTCAAAGTGAGTGATTTCAGAGCTATTATCTGACCGGTGGATCAGCACGACTTAATGTCCAACTGTAACACCTATGGAGCTGCAGGCTGCTCGAGCTCCTCTCTGCAGAGTGCTGAATGGCAGAACAGTGAGCCCAACATTATTGACTCGTATTCACACTCTTATGGCCGCCCATCGACTTCTTGTCACACACATACAGAGTTATGGCTTTCTCTGCGTGTGTACAGCATGTGTGTGTGTACCAACAGAAACATCAGAGTTATTCACACACTCTTTGCCTATCGAGTAATAATAATAATAATAATGCATTTTATTTATATAGCGCTTTTCACAACTCAAAGACGCTTTACAGTATGAGGGAGGGTAGACAAACAAGGACAGGCAAACAAGTAAGTACAAAATAAAAAGGCAGTCAAGATGAAGTTGATTGAGAGGGGGGGGGGGGGGCTTATGGGTAGACAGAGTTGAAAAGATGTGTTTTGAGGCGGGACTGAAAGACTGTGAGGGACTCAGAGTCACGGAGATCTTGGGGGAGGGAATTCCAGAGCCTAGGAGCTGCCACTGAGAAGGCTCTGTCCCCAAAGCTGCAGAGTGTGGATGTGGGAATGGATAGGAGTCCGGCTTCGGTGGATCTGAGGGACCGTGGGCGTTGATAAGGAGTGAGAAGGTTTGTGAGATAAGGGGGGGCCAGATGGTGGAGTGCTTTGTAGGTGAGGACCAGAATTTTGTAGTTGATGCGATGGGAGACAGGAAGCCAGTGGAGGTCTTTGAGGACTGGGGTGATGTGATGCCATGATTTGGTATGCGTGAGGAGACATGCAGCTGCATTTTGAACCCGTTGGAGTCTGTTGAGCGATGTAGTGCTGATGCCGTAAAGAAGTGAGTTGCAGTAGTCGAGGCGAGAGGAAATGAAGGCATGGATTAGTCGTTCGGCTGCGGGGCGGGTGAGAGAGGGTAGGATTTTTGCAATATTGCGGAGGTGGAAAAATGAGGTTTTGACTGTTTGGCGGATGTGAGGTTCGAGGGAGAGGGTGGGGTCAAAGATTACGCCAAAGTTGCGAGCCTGATTGGAGGGGGAAACAATGGTGCCATCGATGGTGAGAGTTATGTTAGTGACCTTGCTGAGGGTGGATTTGGAGCCGATTAGGAGGAGTTCTGTTTTGTTGCTGTTCAGTTTGAGGAGGTTATGTTGCATCCAAGTTTTAATAGCTGTCAGACAGGAATCAATGTGGGTAAGGGGTGGGTTATGGAGGGATTTGGTGCTGAGGTAGATCTGAGTGTCATCAGCATAGCAGTGGAAGTCCAGGTTGAAGTGGCAGAGTATCTGACCGAGGGGGAGGATGTAAATGATGAAGAGGAGGGGGCCAAGTACTGATCCTTGAGGAATGCCTTGGGTGACTGAGGCTGTGGCAGAGGAGTGGTTTGGGAGGGAGATGAAGTGGGATCGTTCTGTGAGGTAGGACTGGAGCCATCTGAGTGCAATACCTTCAATACCAATGTCCCTGAGTCGGGTGAGCAGGATGTTGTGGCTCACGGTATCGAAGGCTGCACTCAGGTCGAGGAGGATGAGAATATTGAGGGAACCAGTGTCAGCAGAGGTGAGGAGGTCATTGAGGACTTTGACGAGTGCAGTTTCTGTACTGTGGTGAGGACGAAATCCAGACTGAAGGGGTTCATAAAGCTGGTTGGTTTGGAGATGGCAGTGAATTTGTTTGGCTACAATGCGTTCAAGAGTTTTTGAGAGGAATCGTAGGTTGGAGATAGGGCGGTAATTAGTGAGGGAGGAGGGATCAAGACCAGGTTTTTTGAGGATTGGAGTAACGGCAGCAGTTTTGAAGGCAGAGGGGACGGTTCCATGGGACAGCGAGGAGTTGAAAAGGTTAGCAAGATAGGGGCAGAGGACTGGGAGGCAGGACTTCAGGAGAGGAGTGGGTAGAGGGTCAAGGGAGCAGGTTGTGGGATTTGAGGAACCGATCACATGGAGTATTTCAAGTGGGGTCACCAGGTTGAACTGGGAGAGGCGGCGCTGGGGAGGAGGAGTCAGGAGGTTAAGGGAGATGGGGGGAGAAATGGTAGTGGTGGAGGTTGGGGGAGATGCTTGTATATCAGATGGAGCTGAGAAGGAGTGGTTAATGGCGTTAATTTTGTCTGCGAAAAATTGGAGGAATGAGCTGCAAGTAGCGGAAGTAGAAGTAGGGAGGTTATCAGCACGGGGTTTGAAAAGCTTGTTAACTGTGGAGAAGAGGATCCTGGGGTTACGGGAGGGGTCAGTGAAGATGTTGGAGAGGTAGGCAGATTTAGCGGCAATAAGAGCATCTTTGTATGCATTGAGATGGAGTTTGTAGCTTATGTAATGGACTGTGAGGGATGATTTGTTTGAAAGACGTTCAAGTTGGCGGCCTCGCTGCTTCATTTTACGCAGTGCGGGTGTGAACCAGGGTGAGGAGGTCTTGAAAGTAACAGTTTTATTTTTGAGGGGGGCTAAAGTGTTGAGGGAGGTGAGTAGGGTGGAGTTGAGGTGGTTGAGCAGATCATTAGGGGAGCTGAGGGTTGCGTCCAGGGGGAGATTAGATGATAGCAGTTCGGAGAGATGGTTATGGTCAATGGAGTGTAGATTACGGAAGGTGATGTTTCTGGGTGGGCAGGGGTTTCGGGTGGGGGGGGCAATGGTGAATTGTATGAGTTTGTGGTCGGAGAGGGGAAATGGGCAAGGGTGGAGGTCAATCACTGGGAGGTTGGTAGAGCAGACGAGATCAAGAATGTGTCCTTTGTCATGGGTGGGGAAGGTGACATGTTGGGTGATAGAGAAATTGTCCAGTAGGGTTGTGAATTTGGATGCCAGCTTGCAGGTGGGTGAGTCAATGTGAATGTTGAGGTCACCAAGTAGTAACAGACGTTGAGAGAGGGATGAGGCAAGTGTGAGGAATTCAGTGAGTGAGTGTGTTTGGCTCGCTCGTAAAGTCCCATACGGATGTTTTTTGCTGCTATCAGTAAGTGATTGTGATTCTTACTACAGTATTTTACAAGAGGGAAAAAAATCAACCTTTACACCAATAGCGCATCTTGCCAGAGTTCAAAATCCTCATGAACAGCATTTATGCATTATGAAACTCAATCATTTATCAAAAAATATCAAATTAATTCAGGAAAACTATGATAAAATGCATTCAGGAATCTTGCATGTTTGTACCAATCATGACATTCAATTCCACAACATACACTGAACAAAAATATAAACGCAACACTTTTGTTTTTGCTCCCATTTTTCATGAGATGAACTCAAAGATCTAAAACATTTTCTATATACACAAAATAACCATTTCTCTCAAATATTGTTCACAAATCTGAAAAAATCTGTGATAGTGAGCACTTCTCCTTTGCCGAGATAATCCATCCCACCTCACAGGTGTGGCATATCAAGATGCTGATTAGACAGCCTGATTATTGCACAGGTGTGCCTTAGGCTGGCCACAATAAAAGGCCACTCTGAAACGTGCAGTTTTGCTTTATTGGGGGGGTCCGAAAACCAGTCAGTATCTGGTGTGAGGGTTAGGGTTAGGGTAATGTTGTGAATCGAGTGGCCTGTGTTCGTCGTCCATAACATACGCCTGCCCATACCATAACCCCACCACCACCATGGGCCACTCGATTCACAACATTACCCTAACCCTAACCCGATTATCTCGGCAAAGGAGAAGTGCTCACTATCACAGGTTTTTTCAGATTTGTGAACAATATTTGAGAGAAATGGTTATTTTGTGTATATAGAAAATGTGTTAGATCTTTGAGTTCATCTCATGAAAAATGGGAGCAAAAACAAAAGTGTTGCATTTATATTTTTGTTCAGTGTATATTCAAAAGTGAGGGACTGACATACTTATTTAGCAGCCACAATGTGTGTGTGTGTGTGTGTGTGTGTGTATTTGTGTGTGTGTGTGGGCATCTTTGGCAGCCTCTCATTAACATATTGTAAATGTTCTGAGCTGCACTGCAGACAAAGGAGGGGAGATAGGTAAGGAGCGACGGAGGGAGGGAAAGAGGGAGAAGGAGAGAGTATGCTTGCGTAAAAATAACAAATTGCCTCTCATTTGATTACTTGCCTGTCCTCTCTCTCACTCTCAGATTGTATAACAGCAGAATGTGAAGCAGCCATTCATATCCAGAGAGGGATCCCTGCTGTTTCTGCAACCGTTTCATCTCTGCATTTCATTTTCTCTTTCTGCCTCTTTCCTACTACCTTGTATTTCAATTTCTTCCCACCTCATTCTGCCTTTCTCACCTCTTCACTCTCCCAGTCTGTTTTCCTTTCCCTACACTCATACTTTCTATCCTACAGTTCCATATCTTTCTTTTCATCTTGTCGTTATTGTTCTCCACCTCATTTAATCCTTTCTATTTTCTTTCTTTCTATTATTCTAATTCACCCTTGCTTTAATTCTCTCCCCCTCTCTCTTTCTTTTTCTTTGACTGCATCATTGAGCAGAATACAGATTAGATGAACAGCCTATGCAAATGTTTTCACGCATACAGGAATAATGAGGGTGATTAAATTGCCAAATATGATTTCAGCACACTCATTTTTCTGCTATATTTGGTTTTAAGAGATTTGAGTAACAGTGTGTACGATGGTGATGAAAATGATGACGATGATGGTGGTGGTGATGATGATGATGATCTACACTAAGTTTGTGGTAACCCGACCTAAGGGAGTGTCAGTATCAGCTGACTGCTGTTTTGTACATTATATTGTATTTTAACAGATTTTAAAACAGATTTCAACAGATTGGATAAAATGGATTTTCTTGTGGTTTCCACTCTAATACATACTTCAAAATCTGGTCTTCTTTCCTGCTGAAAAAGTAAACTGTTCACAGTTTTCAGTCCCTTCCTGGTAAGAATATGTTTTCACTGGTGTGACCAAATCCTTTTTGTCAGTTTTAGTGCCAGATATGAAAGCAGGATCCTGACAGTGCACGGTGTGGTGCAGAGGACGAAGCAGGAGGAATACATGATCAGAACCAGGAATACAGTATGTATCGGCAGATTGCGACTCCACTTTTTCGGGGCGTTCCTCTGTGACAAGAGGCAGCGTGAGTACTGGAAGACGTGTAATTACGTGCCGTAACAAGTAGCAAAATTGCACTGCTCAGCCTGATGTGTATTCGGGTTCAGTTGGAGCCAGAAAATTACCACAAAAATGTCAATGCAAATCACCACTGCCTTTGTGTGAGGACACAATTAGGGGCCTCAGTCTGATTGTACTACACTGCTGCTGGGTTGACATGACCAACACGAAGGAACTCAATTAGTAAGTGGAGCAAATGTTGGAAAAAAACAATGACATGATTGCTTGAAGAAGAAGCTCCCTGACCATCTCTACCAACCCATCAGCTGTCTGATCTGAACGAGGTAGCCACAATTACATTTACAGTAAATTACAGTTGTTTTTACAGACAGACACTTTGCCATGACATTTTGTCCCTTTTTCAACTTGAGCAAAGAAAGTGTGTTACTGCACAACACCAGTTCAAAAGCATTTCCAGCCAACCAAGTGGAAATGCCAAGAGGCTAAAAAATATATAGCGAGTATCTCATGATTTGCTGAGGTAGAAAATTGGTGTACAATAGAAACAGATTAAGCAACTGTATGATTATCTACATGAAACAATTATACTTCAACACACACTAGAGCATAGCTCATCTGAAGGGATGTAAAACTACAGGAGCAAAAAATAAGTATAGAAATATCCTATTTCCTTTGATTCTGTCTACATTGCTTTCCTGGTTTCAGCTGAGACAATCTCTCGATGTATCACATTGTTTTGGAGCACCCTCTTCTTCTGTAATGTTGCAAACTACTAAAGAATTAAGATATGGCACCACATACTGCTTACTTAGATTAAATAACTTTTTGCCAATTATCTCAAAATGTGCAATTCATTTGAAACCTAGCTATAGTTCCTTTGGAAGGTGTGCCACCACGATAATCTCCACCCTCCCCAAGCCTGAGCTCACTGACCTGGACACGGGGGTGACGTAATTTCCCGGGAAGACACCGGAGGCAGCGGTTCTCAGCGAGGTGCCTTTGAACCACCCGTCTTGGCACTTCTCTGTCACCCGATACATCTCCCCTTTCCTAAGTTCAAGCTCGTCTGCCTTCTGGGGCTTGTAGGCGTATAAAGCCAGATATCTGTGGAACAAAGGCAACAGACACAATGTAAAAGTAAGGAAAAATAAAGAAACCCTTTCAAGTCAGCAGGAAATCTCCGAAAACTGTTCATTAAATCCCCATCATTTCTCATGTGGGTTATTCCTAATGTGCATTATGCAAAGTAAAATCAAATGAATGAATAACTAAACAAATAAATGAAAATGAGCAAATCAATCATTTAGAAAAGCAACTGTTAGGAGGGAGGAGAGAATACCAAACTCCAAAGGTCTTTAACTTGAATCAGAGGAAAATAACAGCTTTAGTATACAAAAAATGGCTCACGAATATTCATTAATAATCTCTCTAGAAGTGTTTATTTGATATATCTCTTTTTTAGGTGTTTGATGTACAGTGCAGAGGATGAGAAACTGCACAATGTCGATGCAGCACCTACTCCTTCAGAAAGCAGTCCTACAGTAGGATCTGTGTCAGCTCAAAGAGAGGAGCTGTGGAGGCTGGTCCTCCCACCATATACCATCCTTTTCCCCAGAGCGGGAAAGCAACTGTAGGTGGCAACAGTAAATATGAGAGATAGTAGGAAATCAGTAATTGGTCTCCATCAGCATCTGAAAATAATTCCATTCAAACAGCAACAACAAAACACCCTTTAAAGTTTATTTTGTGGGGGAGGACTACAAGTTAAGACAAGCTTATTTAAGTAAATCAGGATTGTTTTCTGAATCCAATACAACTTTCTACTTAAAGGCTCTCTACTATTTATATCTCAACAACTTAACGGAGTAAAGATCTTTACAGATAGTTTTACTACAGTTAAATGCACAAGTCGATTTGTGCTGTATCATACGAACGGCTGCCGCTAATGTTCGCTCAGCTTGTTCTCTGATAACTTCAGATGTAGACGTTGCTGACTTAAATTCAGATTTCTCTTTGAAAATATTGGCAACATTTAGGATAGTGAAAGTACTCATTATTCAATAAAATACATTTTGAGGCATATAACTAATAAATCCTTAACATATATTTTACTACATCTATACTATATACTATGCTAAACTATATATCTACTATATCGACTTTGTTACCTTGGACTACAGTCTCCTTGACAGTTTTAACCGGGTGACTATGTAAAAGAATGAGGCCTTTGGAGTTATTATTGTATGGAAATCCCTAAATACTAGATTGTTCCTATTTGTACTACAATTTTAATTTATAACATGACCAACCAATTTCCCGAAAAATGTATTTATAAATGTATACAAAATGAATAGTACCAGTTGACCAAAATCAGGGGCTTTTTGTGTTATATGATATTGGAGTAAATGGTGCCCTTAAACTATAACAAAAGACATTGTAAAAATATCAGAATCAGAGGCTCATATATAAAATCTAAGATGTATGACGGTTTTAATGTTGCAGTGTGGCCTGTGATTTATACAATTCTCAAGGAGAATTCAAATAATTTCTCTCGGAGGTTTTAATGTGACCACCAGAGGCTGCCTCAATGATTTTCCCTCCCATATTGTGTGCTGTCCCATGAATGGGAAATCAATAACCCCATGTTTACCTGTCTGCTCACAGGTACGCTGATAAATGCAGAAATTAGCATCCACTACATGTGAGACTGTGTTCATGAGTGGTGCCTCCGCGTTAACATATAAATAAGTTTCTGGCCCCAGCAGGATGTTAGTGGCAGGCTCACGACAGAAGACGATAAGACCGCAGAGTAAACAAGCCCTATATGCGCTGATTCCCCGTTGCCATGGTAACAGATGTGGGGACCGTCTCCCGTCTTTCCATGGCAACAGGAATAGTTGCCAGGTCAAGATGGAAACGTCCGACCTCATCAGCGGAACAAGCCTACTCCGGACGTTTGTGTGTGTGTTGTGTGTGTGTGTGTGTGTGTGTGTGTATATGTGTACAGAGCGCTATTTGGAAAGTGATATAATTAAAGCTGACAATGTTGCAGGCAGGATCCCAGTATACAGTTAATAGTATACATCACACACACATGTGCACGCACGCACACACACACACACACACACACATACACACACACACACACACACATACACACACACACACACACACACACACACACTTGTACTTCTATACTGGTGAGGACCCTCCTGGCCCATAAACCTAATTCCCACGTTGGAAAAAGTGATTACTGACCTTATGTCCTCACTTTCCAAAAATATCCCAAAATGTCCTTACTCTCAAGGTCTAAAACTCGAATCGGTACGCATACAGGTAGAATTACAAGGGCACAAACACACACTCACCTTGAAGATACCTGTGTGTTTCTGGCAGTTACCTGGTAGATTAATTAGGAGGTAAATTATAGAACAAGTCTTGCTCAGCGTTGGCGCCTCACCAGCCATCTGGATGTGACTGGTGTGGTTAGATTTCCACCAGAATTGAATTGTGTTGGTATGTGTCAGGTGGTTTTCACTCTTAATCCATTCACACAATGATAAGATAAGATAATTTAAGTCACTGGGACAGCTTCCAAGCAAACCCTACAATGCTTCGTAATACCCATCTATTGTAAATAAAATGTGTAAGAGGTTGTAATATTTGAGCAGATTTGGTTGAAAGGTTGAAAAAAAAACAAAAAACAAACATATTTTCTTTCATGTCATCCTCATCTCTCTCTCTGTTACCCGTGTGTATTAGGGCCGGACAGTACATTGGTGTGACACAGTTGAAGCCTGGCATGATTTTTTATTTTACCTACAATGGCTGAGGAAATAGTGATAAGAAAAGGTGATGAACTAGCTTTTCCCATGGCTCTTCCCTATGAAAGCAAATCACAGCTGTACAATGAAATGTATTGTGAGTGTAAGGGATGGCTGAGCTGTTGAAAGCCTCGTTATGAAACACTGATGTAAGCATCAACTCAACGGAGGGCACGGTGTGATGGTATTTTTCCTTTCTGAGGGGGATTTGATCGTTGACCAGTGGAGGAGTAAATGTGGTTGCAGAGGTGGTGGAAAGTGGCCAATAACTTTGGGCACAAAAGAGGAAATATTTTAAACGTTGCCAGGAGGCAGGTTCAGAAATCATGCTTGGATCTCAGGGCTCGTATCCACTCGGGTGGAAAACAGAACGGGGGAGGAAGGAGGGGTCACAGGTGGGAGAGCTGACAGCACCCTGAGGTGTACTCACATGTTGAGTGGCAGCTGCACCTTAGCGTGGGCCAGCAGCTCAGAGGTTATGGATGCCACTTTGGGGGGCACCAGTACCCCTGCCAAGGAGGGAGAGGGACCCGGGTGAGATACATCCTACAGACACACAGAGATACAAATCAGGTGGCTTCCATTTAAAACAGAACATTACTCCAATATATGCCAGCAGCATTTCCAGCTTTTCAGTATGCATCCTGGGTGTTATTCAAAAACGCATTTAACCCAGGTGTGAATGCATCCAGAGGCAATGAATGCAGAAGCAATGTGTCTCCAGTCTCCAGCTATCAGAAAGAGCAATGATGTTAGGCACATCCAACTGTCAGAGTATGTGATAGGGGAATAAGTTAATAAAATATCTAGTGGAGAGGGGACACCTGCATGTTTACTGCATATTTAAAGCATATTTTTTAGAGCCAAACCAAAAAATAAGCTGGGCACAAACGAGGCGTACTGCAAATACTGTTGATCCAAATCAGCGTATACATGTTGACAGGAAATTGCAATACAAAATGTCAAGTTTATCCATATACTAAATACATAATAGAGGAGGAAATTAAATAATTCATTTATGTGACACATTTAAGTACAGTTATAATGTACCTTTCCTTCAGTATTTCTCATATATTTTCTTTTCATATTTAGATTAAAATAAGTAAATTAAATCAGCTCCATTTTCACTATCAAATGTGAAATGCTGCTTAGCAAAAATAACCAAAAAATGTAATTATACAAGGAGCCAACCTTCAGGATATTTCCTTTCCCATACATATATTCATGTAGACTAATTGCCTGACGTTTCAGTTTGTGCAGTAATGGCTTGTTTTAAAATGAAATAAAACCTAATTTCTGCACTTATTGGTACTGTCAACCCGGAAAACATTGCAGGTTTAAAATAACATATATAATTATATATTGTATATGTTTAAATCAATCTGCAGAACCTTATAATGGTGATAATCTGTTGTTTTGATGGCCTTCATGTGTGACAAACTGGACTCATACATGTCCTTAATCCAAACATATTAAGCAGGAAAATAGTTTTTCAGATATGTAAATTGCTATTAAGATAACAAAAATGTTTTTACATTTAATTTAATTGTTATATGCATTTTTTTTCTTCATATACTGTATTTAATTAGTCAAATGGCCAAATGTAGCCACATACGGCCTGAAAATAATTGAAGTACTGCAACGCTTGTGTATATACTTCACACACTTTGACTCAAGTTTGAATGCACAAACTTTACATTCACACTGAAGTATCTTTATTTAATTCCAAAAATATGTAATTAACACCACTGCTTCATATAAATACTCATAACAGTGTGTGTGTGTGTGTGTGTGTGTGTGTGTGTGTGTGTGTGTATGTGTGTGTCTCTGTGTGTGTGTACCTGTATGCGTGCAGCAGCTCGGGGGTCCGAAGAGCTGATGAGGACAGGGTGGGAGATCTCCATGCTGTGTCTGTTGTTGAGTTGCGCGGCCCTCTGGTTGACTGACAGCGCGGAGAACGAATGCCTCTTCTTGGCGTTCTTCTTCCCTTCGCCTTTCCGGTGGCCATTTCCATTTCCATTGGACGGCGAGGCGCTGGGGGAGGGACCAGGAGAGCAGGGACCCAACGTGGCTGGCTCTGAGCTGGGACCTGGACCGTTAGTCAACGTGGGCTTGTCGATTTCCATCAACTGCTTTGCTGTTTCATTTAACTGAGAGGACCGGAAGAGGAGAAGCAGGTGGTTGACAGATCAGAGAGGCGAGGAGACGGGGAGGACAAGAGAGAAGAGAGGGAGAGTTCAGGTGTTACATTTCAGTCCTTAGTGGTTCTCATCCAGAACAAATGTTTGTGGCCTTTCCTCGCTGGTTTTTGTTGGCAGCTTTTCAAAAAAAGAGCAGCATTACAATCATCACTTACAACAGCTGGCCCAGTGAGACTGTGTAAAAAAGTCAAAAAGAACTCCCACGCACAACATAACGAAACATGAGCATCCCGTTTTTTCCCACCTAACTTTGGTTTAATTAATGCTTAGATGAATGCATTAATTAGATGAATGCATTAATTAATGCTTTAGAACAAAGTAATGTTGTTGTACCTATAAGACTGTCAAGATGTAAGATATTAACACCCTTTAAATCAACGCATTTCTACCAAATGTAGTCACCAAATCACAAGCACACACACTCAAAATAGCATATTTGAAAGTTTAAGGAATGAGATTAAGATGTATGCAACACACTGCACATCTAACCAAAAAGGAAAATCTGTCATCTTACGCTTTACAAATGAGGTATTTTTTTTAACAACAATGCTAATTGGCTGTTAGGAATATGTTTTTGCTTTTATCATTACCCCAATACATGTAAGAAGTAAACATTCCCTCCAGCAAAGAGTCCATAATTAGCTGTATTTATCACATGATCTGGTCAATCTGGATTATAATAATATGGTGGGTTGTTTTTTGTTGTTGTTTAGAAACTGCTGAGGAGTTTAAGGTACCAAAGCTCCCTCTGTCACGGTACGTTGACATGACAATATTAATTATAATAATGTAATAGTAAATGAAAAGTATGTCAGGCACTTTACAAAGCTTTGTAGATCCAAACAAGTGTGAGCACCATCATTTAAAATGTGTGTCTGGCATTTTAAATTGTTTGTGCTCTGTTAAAAAGGACAGTTCACATGGCACCGGATGTAAACAATACTGGCAATAAAGACATTGATTTGGGGAGTAACAATATTTCCATCTAGTTCTAATAGATTTGAGAGAAGACACATATCTGTATCTAATGTCTCAGACACTCTGCAACTCACACCAAAACAAGATAGGTTGATGAATAGCACAAGAGGCAAGAGGACACGTATTTCTGATCTTCTGTTCTCTAATATGTGATCCTCATTTTCCTCACTTCCAAAATAAATGACTGGTGTAGTACATAACACAGTTTAATGTGTAATTTTAGCAAGCTAGAGCTGAGACTTGTCTTATCAGAGTGGAGTGAAAATAAAGTTGTTAAAATGAAAGGATGGATGTTCCATACACATACAGATAAGCAGCATATTGCAATAACTTATAAAAGCTGAAAAATCCCCTATATAGCTATCACACAACGTGACACCTTAGTGTTTTGTTGCCTTGTGGCTGAGAGCATGTCTTGGTTGTAAATGGAAAAACAGTCAGCGTGTTGACAATTATGGGGCTTTGATATTTCTTAATGCTCTATAATTACCTCTGCACAGTGTTAAAACCTTGTCTCTACAGAGGAAAAAGCAAGCATATAAAGAAAATATGTGTAACTCTAGGCTTGGGTGACTATGCCCGCACACAGGCCAATGTGAAAACAGGGACACATAAACTGACACATAAATAGACAAAATCTTCAGTCCTCTAATGTAAAATCCTGTCTGCTTAGCGTAACGTCAAACTCCTGAATTATCCCTGGAGACAAAGTTTAGCATTCCTTTTTTTTTTTAACGAATGTGTGTGTTTGTGTGTTCGAGGCAGAAAGAGAGAGAGTGGACACGACTGACCCGTCTGGTCTCAGCGTCGGTGATGTTTCATTTACATATTAATAGATATGCTAATCAATGCCAAATCATATGCTAATAAGCATGATGGATTGATACCGCAGATACAACTCAGTTTGTTCTCATGAGGCGGACTAGAGGTCGGACACACATGCGCACACACACGAACACACACACAAAGAAGGTAAGTGAGTCAGATATGCCCCCCAAAAAAGGAACCAATCAAGTAACTTTACCCATGGATTTAAGTTTATTCCTCACACACAACACACACCACACCACACCACACACACACAAACACACACACACACACACACACACACACACACACCACACACACACACACACACACACACACACACACACACACACACACACACACACACACACACACACACACACACACACACACACACACACACACACACACACACACACACACACACAAATGACTGATAAGGAAGTTTCTCTTTAACAACCACTGCTATATTGCCTGGTCATGCTGCAGTAAAGGACACAAGGGAGTGTGTGTGTGTGTGTGTGTGTGTGTGTATGTGTAAGAGAGAGAGATGTTGAGATTCTTCGCTTGGTGATTTTGGCCGGATGAAATCTCCAAGGTCATCTATTTTGTGTTGAGCTAACTGTACTCTCCGTTCTGTGAGTCTTTTGGAGGGTGGGTGCTCTCCCCAGGTATCGCTGAGACTCGAGCTGATGAGCTGATATCTGCAGTGCGAAAAGGGTAAGCCGGCAGGATATATGCATGCTCATGCACACAAACGTACCCAGTGGCAGGTGTGTGCCAACTCCCTCCTGCCGCAGAGACAGGTCGATGCATAAAGTGAAAGAGGGAGAAAGAAAGGGAAACAAAGGGACAGAGGTGTCCTTGACATGGGTTATACCATCTGACCCACATTTATGACAAACCTGTCCACCTGTTCTCCCATCTGCATGACTCAACCTCACATCTGCCCAAACCCATCCACACTCAAAAGCAAACGCATATAAGCTGACGTCAAATCAACTTATACAACACCATCCAACCCACTCAGCACACCCACCCATATTCAATTCTGGTAGTTTATTTATAGCAACATAAATCCACACCAGGTGTATAAACTCAACAAACCATCAAACATGTTCCTGATCGAGATACAAATACACCCACAGAAACACAAACTCTGAGCGAATCCATCCACGACTGCCAACACATAACTCACATTCAGTACCTACTATCCTGCAATTAGCTTATATAACTAATTCCTGACAAGTTAATTATCTGTTTTATATGTACAGTGTACTAAAAAGAGTAATTCTGATGCAAAACTTCTGTCTCCTTTGGCCATTTAACCACAATACATTTGAGAATAGATTATTAAAAACTGCATGTTTATTTGACTTAACCTATGTTGGAAAAGCTAATTAATGTTTTTGATTTCAGTAATTTAAGTTATCCTATTGATTCTTTTTTTGCGATAATATCAGAACATAGGTATTTTAATCAAGGACAAAGTTAAACCAGTACTCTTTGTGTCTTTGTTTCTATTATCATGTATCTAATAGCACAGCCTGGAAAAAAGTGACATCAGCATTGTGCAATATACCACATCTTCTGTCTTCAATGAGACATTTGTTGGCACAGCGGTGGTCCGGATGCAGACGGCTCCAAGAAACCTGTTTCAGCAAAAATAGTTCAACTTGGCTAAAAGTCAGTGCAACATCAACCAGCAATGCAAGGTGCTGGCCAATCGAATATGTGTACAACATTCCCAAATAACTTCACACAACTCCATGCAATTATGACCATTTCAGTGGCATCTCTATCAGCAGCAAATCCTTCATCTCAAGTCTGTTGATCCAGAATACAAGCAGTCGGAAATTAAGACAAGAAGATGTACTTCATATCCAGAGAGACACACACACACACACACACCACACAGATCATCAGCAGTCCAGCTGGGCCCCCCTCATTAAGCTCCCACTGCGTACACACACACACACACACACACACACACACACACACACACACACACACACACACACACACACACAACACACACACACACACACACACACACCACACACACACACACACACACACACACACACACACACACACACACACACACACACACACACACACACACACGACATGCCCCTGTAACCCCTGCTGTGTCAGAGTGATGGAGAGCTCTAAATAATTGATGCATCTCTATCTAATAGTAGACCCAGTGTGTTTGTGTGTGTTTGTCCCTGCCTCTCACAGCCTTCTGTACGGCTTAATAGTCATCACCTAAGAGAGCCGTTTGGTCAAATAGCTAATTTCAGCGACATGATTGGGCAGCCAAGAGTCCAAACCCGTTCAGGCTGTCATCCCAGGGAGAGAGATGGTGTGTGTTGAGAGGGCAGCATGATGAAAGGATGGCTAAACAGAAAAGAGAAGCTTGATTGTAGGGATGTTGCTATCAAAGGAAAATAATGTTTGCAGCATGAAGAAGTCATCCCATTAGTGTCACTCTTTAATCTCTACGTAAATGAATTTCTCTAAGCCACAGTACATGAATACACAATTCAGAAGACATGTACATTGGGTCTTATTGCTTTGCAAAGATGCATCTGTTTTGAATGTGTCATCGTTTGTTTACAACAGGGACACAAGATAATTAGCTCACACTCAATTTTGTGGTGATGAAATGAAAAGAGACAGCTTACAGAAAACATAAGGAAGCACACTTTCTTTCCAGTTTCTACCAACTGCTTATTTACTACGGCTTAAAAGCCTTAAATTCGATGCAGAGCAAATTGTGCATGTTTTTTTTTTCAGTAGCACAGGGATTAAAAGTAAACTATATTTCACTCTTGACAGGCATGGCACTACGAAAGACGGTAAAATGTTTCGGGTGATGGGGGTTTTATCCGTTTACTGAGAGGAAATCCCTTAAAAAAACTCCAGCTCTGCCTGGTTTCAAACAGCATTTATAACGCAATTTATATTCCAGGGGAATTGTTAATATTTGGTCGGGCATTTCTTTAGATAGGTGGACAAACATAGAAAACACAACATCACATCCTCACACTGAAACATCATGTGGAACCTCAAGTAAGACAAACATGCAATCTCCATGTTTAAAGGAGGAAAATAAAGTTTATCTTAATATCCATCTTTCTTTTGTGAACCGCAAAAATTGCACTTACATGTCAAGTTTTTGTACATTTTGAATGGATGTTAGCAACATACTGGGAATATTTCCATTCATACAAACAAAACATTGACATTGTTTCTTGTCGAAGTACACAGCATATACTTTCAACCAAGAAAGAAAATGTTCTCTTCATTTCAAAAGTAGCATTATGATAAATGAAAATACTGTACTGAAGGTGTTGTGCTGTTGCTTTTACAGCTATTTCTGAAATAACCTGATATGTAAGTGTTTTGTGTGTGTTTCTGTAATGTCTGTGGGTTTACCTCCACATAGAGAATGGGGAAGATGCCAATCTTGTCTCCCAGCATGCCTTCTGCCCAGTTCTCGTCCACTCGCCTGATTACTGTCAGTACCTCATCCTGGAGAGAGAGGAAATGAGTATTGAGACTACACACATTGTAGGTCCACCACATGTGTTCAAATCCATTTGTATTATAATAAAGTAAAGAAAAGGATAAATAAAGAAAGAAATGCGGCTTTCTGTCTTCATCACTTAAAAACACTTTATTTATCAGAAACTGGCCAAAACAAAGCATCTCAAACTCTTTGTGAGTGGATGTTTGTGTCTTCTGAAATTGTCTATTGAATCCTTACACGGTTTGAAAAAAACGTTCCTCACCATTTTGTATGTCCATCTGTTGGATTGCTTAACTTAGGAATGATGGCGAATGGTGTTTTGCAAGTTGTAGCTCATTGACTACAAATCGTGCGTGGATATGGTTTTAGATTGATAGGCAGATACTGGTTTCACTTCATTTCAATTGCCTTCATTTTTATCTTATAATGTTTTCAGCAACATTATGTCTGACACACATGGAAACATATTATGTTCTTCATTCAACCCCACCACACACTTCCTTTTCCCTCAGTTGCTCTTCTACTCCCATGCACATGCAGGTCTTGGCTACACCATTAGGGAAGGCAGTGATAATGCTGGTAAATGACTGTTGTGTATTAATCATACTGAGAAATGGTCTCTCGCATGAAAAAACAATATCACAGACACTGGTTTCTGCATGACATCTCACACACAGCGCACCCCAGGGACACTCGTGTCTGTGTGAGTGTATGTCTTTGTGTAATCTTCAATCATGAACCTGATGATTAGATTAGCCCTAAAACTCAGAATGATGTGAACTCTGAAATTCTCGTCATTATCCGTTAATCAGGATGTAAAGCAGAGTGAGTTTGTAACAAGGTGTCTATGCTTTGCATTACTGTGATTAGTCCTACAGCACCTACAGTGAAGTGTACTGTACGTTGTAATGTAGTAATCTTCTTCCCTCCACAAACACACAATTACAGGGCAGAGACAGAGAGAGTGTTCAGTCCTCAAATAAATGAGTCTGTGTAACAGCAGGAACAAATAATAAGCTCTTAGGAACAGAAACATATCAGAATACAAATTACTTTTTTACACCAAACCCAACCTGCATACATACTTTTAAAAAGACTGACAGGTGAATTCACAAAGAAAGGATTACAGCCGGTGATCTTGTCTTGGCATGACACACCTTATAAATGCCACCTTATAAATGCTCTTCAGTTACCACCATCTCCCTGAAGACTGTATTTGCAATGAGGCTCAATTTGGCGTCAAATGTAGACCTACATATCAGCTCATTTAAATCCATGCAAGAGCACCAAGGAAAGCACTAAGGGGGGTATTTTAATCTTTGCTAGTGCCCTAGAAAATGACACAGTACCGTTATGTCTAATGTGTGCAGGGTAACTGCTGCAGAAAAAGCTGTAGAATCCTTTTGTGAATTTGCCCCTGAGTATCTTCTCTGATCTAATCCATCCCTTTGAAACTATAATTTGTTTGATACCGTGTGAAATGATTTTGAACCTACTCTAAACTGATCCATAGAAAACCTTCCCCAAATCCAACATGTACACATTATTTAATTTTAAATAGGAAGACATCTATATCAAAAGGGACCTGAAGACCTGAAGATACACCTGAAGATAATTGGCACAAATCCTAAGAGCCATCAACTTTAACAGGTGCAGGAGAGACACTGTGCTTGTTAATGAGCAGAGCATGCCGCTGTGCTAATTAACAAGCAGCCTTGGTCAGAAAAAGCAGACATAAGGTATGTGCCTACTTTCCTGCACTTTCCAGTTGTCACTTTACATCTCTCGGTGATGATGCCTACAGTACACCTCGCTGAGATCGCTCCCAGTGTTTCACATGTTACCTCTCACACCTGAGATCCAAAACCCCACAAGACCAACAGGATACATGAAGACAAATAGATGCAGGTTCCTGCATTTAGAGAAAAATATACTTATTATTAATACTGGCAACCAGAACAAACATAACATCGCTTTGCTTCACTTAAATGGAAATTCGACCAGGGTTGGTGGAATTAGTTTGTAGGTCAGCATGACATAATAAAAACTCACCATCAATGGCACAACATAATGTATTACTCAACAAGTGACAATCTAAAGTGTCCTACTAGATGGAGAGGATAGGTTTGTTTGTTTCATGTTGTTGAGTATTTTTTTTCCAAACTCATTGCAAAAAGAAAAATCCAATCATTTTAATGAGCATACATCTTAGATGCCAGAATCTATATTCCAAGAATACTAGAGTACATTTAAAAAATGTTTCAGTCAAAGCCCCATGGTTAGATAAGTAACTATCAGTAATTAAAAAAGTATTTTTAGGCAGCAACTGCTACTCTTTGTCAACTCCAACCTCATATCAGACCCACTGACTTGCAGAGCTTTTCATGCATCATTTGAGGTTGAGTTGCAAGAACAACATTAATGTTAAATTGTTAAGGCAAAGGCAAAACTAAAAGTACCAACTCATTTCTTGTCCAGAAATATGCAAGCCTTTGTGACTTTAACAGAAAAACAAAAAAGTGTGAAGAAGCTCATCAGCACTTGACAATGACAAACACATTTCCACCTTACATCAAACAAACACACAAATGGCTATGGAAGTGAAAAGTAATTTTTCTTTTATGCAGCAATTTTATTTTCCTGTACTGTGTGTGCGATATCAGGACTGACATGATCTTCTATGATGACAACAAAAGGGTTTGGGACTACAACATATTTCAACAGTTTCTATTGACCGAAAATACATTACAACTTGACTAACAAAACATGATTGGGTTGATTAAATATTTTTTTAAACTAACAAGGTAATCTGACTCAAGACATAAAGTGAGACCAAATTAAACATCTGACAACATGAACCAAATCAGAAATAGAAATTTGAACAAAAGGTTACCAAGTTGCTCTGGTTAACAGTCTGAGAGCCAATCTAAAGGGGCTAGGCAGCAGTAATACATTATTAGAGTCCTACAAAGATTCCCCTGCTTTAAAACCACAGATTAGAGATGCACTTTTCCTGTTGTTGTAAATTCAGCCATTTCACTAATCTCCCTCCACTGATTCATCCATATTTCACATTATTACCCTTGCAAAGAAGGTTATGTTTGTGGATTGTTTGTTTGTTTTTCATCAGAAACTAATGGCCTGTGGTTCAAGAAACTTTGTGCAAGTGTGTAGCATGGGCCAAGGGTAAATTCAATTTATTTTGGAGCATACACCCATTATTTTTCACTTATGGGGAAGGCCATGGCTGGCGGAGGTCTGCACTCTCGAAGTGCCGTTCGAATAATATTTGTTCTATGTTTCATATAAAAGTGAAGTGTGTGTGTGTACAGCATGTGTGTGTGTGTTACCTTGCTGAAGGCCAGACAGTCTTTATCCTGGTCTTTATCTTTGACCTCAAAGTCGTACAGTGCTTTGCCCTGCGGTGGAGTTTGGCTCAGGGGACGCAGCAACTGGATGTAACTAGCGGGCAAGAAACCATGGCAACTGTTGAGCTCGCCATGGTACCAGTTGTCATCCACCTTGCGTCGCAGGATGATGATGTCACCCTTGGAGAATTGGAGATCGCCTGGTTCCTTTCCTTCATACGAGTAAAGGGCTTTACCGCAGGGCAGCGCTGGGATACTCTGAAAAACAGAGAGACGTACACTTACTGTACAAGCAATTACATATATCAAAACACAGCAGCGAACATATCCCTATGTTTAGGAGCACCAAGATGTTCTTTGTAGTGTTATCTCTATCCGTTTATTGTCCGACAGTCAGATTAAGGTCTGAATTGTAATAAACCTTGATCTATCTGTTCCACCTACAATTTCTACAAGTAATATAAATGCTAAATGGACTTTCAGAGTGGTCACAATTTCTCATAAAGTAAAATAAAGCACATAAACATTTCTATACCAAAACATTTCCATATTATACAACTTCTTTCTACTTTTAGTGAGAAATACAGGATATGTATCTCTTTAGGTTTCTTTAAATCCCTTGAACGAAAAGATCTGATATGGAAAAAAATATTTCACTGGGCAAAGACCATAACTTGTGTGAGGCAACTGTGTCTAATGGGTTAAATGGTTTTGACCTATTGGAGCGTCAGTGGTGCATGGGCAAGATATGGATCCCTGTAGTGTTAGTGTTGTAGTGTGATAAATACACAAATTCCCCATAATCTCTGTGAGCTTATAACACCAGCCAAAAAGGAAAGGAACACTCACATGCTGCAGATTCAGACTCTCTGTATGTCTCTGTGCAGAGCAGATGAGCAGATTACCTATCTTCACTTAGGTTTCCCTACCAGGAAATCTTCTCCAGCAGCTAATGGACAGACAGCACTGCTCTTTCTCTAACAGACTGAAACTGGACCGATACACAACATATCTCCTTCCAACAGCAATAACACAGCTCACCTCTGCCCTTTTTTAACCAGATTCAACTCAATTGTGACGCTGACAATTGAGCGGCCCAGACCAAGCAAGGAGGCAGAGGCAGCACGTCCCAACTCACTATAAGAATAACCATCTCTGTGCTCTGTGTAGAAGTAAAGCACTGCTCCATACAGCTGACCTAGTGAAATGATGAGTTGCAGAACAAATCTGTAGGGCTTGTTGGTTAGGAAGGCAAACACAGCCCAGAAACTGTGAGAGTTGAATCTGGTCACACAATATATACAACTTGCAGGGTTAAAGTTCAGAGTTGAACTTATTGCATCTAAATAAAATAAAAACTGTGACTACACTGCACAGTTTAATAATCTAGTTATATAGTTTACTATGTTTAAAAAATGTTTTAATACTACAGTAGGTTGGTCTATTATATATAATATAGACATGCATCTTTCCACTGTTGGTCCTGTTTATTTATGTTTATTTTATTATGTTCTACTTTCAACCAATCTGCAATGGCTTTTTAACATGCTGCTATGACATAACAATGTCCCAATGTGTGATCAAAAAACCACATCTACCCTAATTACATCTCCATTAACCCCAAAGAAAGTTCTTCTGTGGTGCACTTCTGCTTCAGCTGTATTTTTACTTAAAGTCTTTCACAGAGCAATTGTATGTGCATTGTGAGAATTAAAAGCATTGCTGGAAGGTAAAGGATCCCACTGTGTTGAAAGATGCCAGATATACACCTGGCAAACCTTGGGGTTGTTCTTTTCCTAAATTCACTGTGAACAGTAGTTTAATTATATTCTTTCTATTTAGGAGCTGTGTGTCTTTTGTGCCACCATGTCTGGAACAAATCATTTTTAAGTCTGTTATGTAACAATATGTTGTATGGGTTGTATGGGTCTATTTGCATTGTTTTCTTCTCTTTACACTTTTATGTTTGTGCCTTACGTTGAAAGGGATTAAAATGAGGCAGTGACTTCTGAAGTGATCAGTAAATGAATACAAGGAGAAATAAAGCCTGGGGGCAAACTGGTTTTGAAACAGCTCAATATATGGAAAAATCCAATATGTTGCAAACTGTTGGCCCTGGAGAGAAATTTGGAAAGCATGGGTAAGTGCTCTGAGTTTCGTTTTATTCCCCGGCAGCATGTGACATATGACTGGTTATTAAAATGTTTGCCAGGTAATTGCCGCTGCCACCTTGGGCCAAACAGTCATTTTGAAAATGCCAGAGCGCTGTGATCCATTACTCCCCAGAGTTGCATCAAAATCAGGTTTGTGGTGTTTTATCACATGTCAAGGACAGACACATACACACATTGACTTATTTACCCCGCACAAAATGATGTTTTAGTGAAGCCCGGCCGGTGTAGAAAATGATGGAAATGTTGCATTGCACTTCATATCATAGATATAACTTCATGTACAAGTTATTTGAACAACAAGGGCAGGGTTATTTTCACTTTCACTGTTAGCTGTGAACTTCTTAACATAATCTGTCCAATCACAGCATAGCAACCATAATTAGGGGCAGCATAACTATTTGGTTACAAGTTACATACAAAAAGTCCTGTTTTTGGCAAGCACATATTTTTGCAATTTTCAAATTGCACTCAATGATATTATATGCTAAACTGTCATATTAGCTTCTCTGTATTAAAAGTCACCTATCATGCTATTTTTAGGCAATAGCATAGGTCTGTGATATATACAAATATACAAAAAACATGTCTATGAAGTGTTTTGCTCAAAATACCAAACAGATCACCCATTCTAGCCATGCCTCATATCCCTCTATTTCACTTCCTGTTTCAAAAGTGCTGATTTTGGGTATAAAGCTATACAAAAAAAAAAGAATTGATAAAAAAAAGGAGGGGGCTGAGCTCATGCGGAGCCGGTAGCTACTGTCTAAACGAAATACTGCGGTGATGAAACGCCATATCATGGATTATCAAGGATTATTTCTGAAACAGTATGGAGTTTAAAGGCTGTCTCTCTTGCCGGTTATACCACAAGGTGAGTTCCTTTTTATTTCCTGCTTCTTCACACACATGCTCTCCAGTACAGGTTAGCTCTGAGTGTTAGCGATGCTAATGTAAATACCGACCATATTACGTCCAAAACAGTCGGGCATTGTTTCTGATAGCAACTTTCTGATAGGCACGGAGGAAAAGAGAGAGGGTTTTATTTTCTGACGCTGTGTGAGTTCCCTGACACACCGGGGACATATATTTATGTATAAAAGACATCAAAAAGTGCATTTTGCATGATAGGTCCCCTTTAAAGAAAAACAGTCTGAAATGCAAACTAAAATAAATAAATAAATAAAATACTTGGTTTTAAAGAAGAACATTATAAAATGCAAACACGAATAATTGAACATATTCTTGTCTTTAATAAATAAATAAGAAAAAAATAATTGTGGTTTTAAAGAAAAATACTCTTAACACAAATAAAAAAAGAAAACAAAGTCATTTAAAAGGGATTCTCATGGGCTGATCATAAAACATTTCTCTACTTTTAAATAATTAAACATTAATAAAATGTTCAAATTATTTTAAATAATTGATATTCAGCTTTCTTGCTTCCTGTGTGCTTCTGCTGCTCGTCAGTATACGATATATCGTCTGTCTCTCATCTCTGTCTCTCAGAAATGAGCATTTGGAGTGCAGACTGTGTGAGTCATCCAAACTGATCACATCACATCACATGGCCACTCAACCTGCTACAGGAGCTGCATCCATCATTATTAGAAAAAAGTGTTCTGTACTCTCATCAATCGTGATGTCCTTTTTCCAGAAAAATAAGTTTGCTTGTACCGAAAGCTCTCCTGCCATCAGTGCCATGTATTTTCTCATTGGCTGTCCAGAGCTGGTCCAGAGGCGAAATGCAATGGCAATAATTGTTTGGGGATTTCCTGTGACAGCCGTAGTGTCCACCTTCAGTTGCACTTGTAAACTCAATCTGAGCACCGTTGATGAATCAGAAACGAGCACTGATTGCCATTAGCAGCTCCGCCAACCCACGCCAGGTGTTGGTGTGGACAAAGCCTGTCAGGCAGTAACTGAGCAGAGTGGGAGTCAATTAGGAATTCAATTGTATCAATTTCACTATATAAGATGTGGTGAGATAGGAGGTTTTCTTGTATGAGGCCCGGATTGACAAGCTAATATAGTTGTTTAACCTTTAGATGACACAAAAGCTACATTTCTATACACCCAGTGACACAGCGATATCTATCATCACACCTATATTCACATTCACCAGCACACACACCCAAACAAACAACACCTCAGCGTTCGGCACACACTTAATATACTGAACAGGTATTTGAAGGAGACGGGTATTAAAAAGGGAGTTTATCTTAAAGACGATCCAGGAAAACAAACAGCAGTGTGTAACAGAGGAATGCATAAAAGACAAAACAGCTTCTCTTCTTCCAGGAGAAGGTGTTGACTATGCACACACACACACTCTCTCTTTTTAGACACTCGCTTACAGGCTGATTATCCCCAGACGTTACGCTGAAGAGAACAGCCCAAGGCTCCACGGCATGACTGTTGAGATCAGTGGTGATGCAACATAAAGAAACGCACAGAGACACACACACTTACACACACAAACAACTGAAAATACACAGAACGTGCTGCTGTGACTAATGCTACTATCAAATACTATTTCTACAGTAATCACTCGTATAGTGACAACAATTAACAAGTCAACAAGTTCACAATTATCCAGAAACACAAACACATTTAACACAAAAGGTGTATCTTCTCCACCAGCTTTAACGTACACACTCCCACACCGACACAGATCAATACTGAGGATGGATGCATTTCCAGCTTTTCAACATCTGGCTATAATTAGTCTCCAACCCTCTAAAATATGTTTTTCTTTTAAGCTTCCTTGAGCTGGCATAGCACATTTCTCCAAAATTAGCTGACCATAAGGTCATTGTTGAACATTTAAAACCCTGACTGTGCTGCTGTTATAGCCTGAATTATTCTGGTTTCAGGCTTTCCACAAGATTTTGACACCAGCAGGGATTTGCTCTCATTAATCCACATAGAGAGGTCAGGCACTAATGTCGGGTAAAAAGGCCAAAGTCATTGTTCCAATTCATCCCAGAGGTGTCGGAGACGAGGTCATGGACTTTGTGCTGTCAAGTTTTTTCAATCTGTACAAAAACATTTCTTTGTGGACCCGACTTTATGCAAAGGGTCATT